TAAGACCAACAGGATGTCCCCTCCAGTGGCCTYCTTGGCTGCTTTGTCAGCCAGGCAGTTTCAAATATCTACTGGAGTATGTCCAGACTGATGAGCTTTACAATGCATCAATGCCACCTTTCAAGGTACCTGCACCCCTCTAACAATCTCTATTATTTATCCATGTTTCACAGGGGATCCCTCAGWGGTTAACAGTCCTCTCTTTCCAAATGGTTCCATGGGCATGGACCCCTCYAAAAGCAAATTTTAAGTCTGTCCATATATTTACAATCTTATTCTGTGAGAGTTGCAATGCTCTTGTCAATGTATCAGTTCTGCTTTCCAAGCTGATATTTGCTGGTTACAGCTTTGGTTTCTATTACCTCATGCTTTGGTTTCTATTACCTCATGCTTTGGTTTCTATTACCTCATGCTGAGTTCCACTGGCTGTTCGGATTCCATATTTCACAAAGCTGCTCCCGCCCACAAGAAGTTCCCAATCCACATCTTCCAAGGGAGGGTTCTGTAGGTCGTCTCAACTAGACCACACCTGTTCAGTGGTCTGCAAACAATCATGGGCCAATTCCTTTCATCATGGGTCAGCTGTTAAGAACAATGCAGGATTTAGAAGGTTAGTTACTTTCAACTCCACATCATCTTGTTCTAGCAACATGTCTGGTATGTGAGCATCCTGTTTGGTGATAACAGTGACCTTCTTTTTGTTCCAACACCACTACAACTGTACAGGGCACAAAAACAGTCAATTGCTGTCTCAGGGTAAATTTTTTCCTTCCTGGATTTGGARGACTGCTGCCACTACTGCCCTGGGGCAGGCTGGCCATCCTTTGCTCTTCTAGGATGCCAGWTGTTGTGTCCATAGCCTCAATGCCAAATGGAACTTTTCATGCACAAATGGTTCAACAGTTCAGTAGCCCAGTGCAGGAGAGTCAATAGAGCCTGAAAGGCTTCAGGTTCAGTTCTCTTTTGGAAAGGAGCTTGGGAGTTGGACAGATGGCCTCCCTTCTTTCCTGGCCCAGACTCCTTTGTCCTTGTGAAACAGCGAATCTCCTGAAGTGCAAGTACCCTTCCAGTTACAAGGCAAAGCCTTTCCACAGAGCAGGTCAGGTCACCTGAGCCAGCCCAGGCCTCTGCAGTGCTGCACCAATYCCTCAGCCTCTGGACAAACCCARCCAGGTCATTGCAAYAGAGGAGCCTGTGGCCAGAARCTTGGATTKTTTTCTTTTTCAAATGTAATTTATACATTTCATTTACTCAATAAATCTCTTCCTAGTATTGGTATGGGACACTCAGGTATATAAGGAAATTGATGGGCTAACACCCATTTACCARTTCCAAATTTTAATGTTGAAAGAATGGCCGATTTTCCTTTTGCTCTGTCACACTAAYATGAATTGTTTCCTGACTAAATTTTCCTTTAGGAGTATTTAAAACTGAATACAGCACTCCAGTATCTACTAAGAAATTCCTTTTGTTGTTCCCTAGTGTTAATGTAACCAGAGGTTYAGCTGGGGATGACACCTCCTGTCCCCATCACACATCATCTAACATCAGGAGCCTGCCTGATCAGCAGCTTTGGGTGAGGTCCAGGATCCAGCAGCTCCTGTTTGTCCCTTTCCCCACAGACATTCCCATTTCCAGTGGCTCTTCTCTTAACAAATAGCACACACACCTCTGCACAACTGGCAGTAATTCCTTTTCTGCTGCTCTTCCATGATGCCTCCCCTTTTTTTGGCTTTGTTCCACTAATGTAGTTTCCACTCCTAAATATGTACGCATTGCATGCTGCTTACTCAAATTCCTAGGAATAACATATCCAAACATCACAAACCTTCACAAATTTCTTCCCTTTCTGAGCCTTCCCTACAAGCCTGTGCAATGGGACTAAAACCTTCATCAGTTTCCAAACCCAAAATTCTTTCTCCTACTCCTCCATCAACTTGACCATTTATGCCTCTTTTGCCTGGGGCTGGAGGAAAGTCCCCAGGTGCAGCCTCATCTACTGTGTCAGCCCCTCTTGTCTCCTCGTGGCCTCTCATCGACCCTCACACCCTCTGTCTTCCACGACCATAGTTTATACAATTTCCCAATACTACAAGCCCAGCAGCATCATTTAGGCTTTTTTTTTTTTTCTGATCTTTCTCTAAAGCTAAAATCACTTAAGGACGCCTTCTAAAAGGTTACACTTTGTGTGTGCACATCTGTGCATGTGTATGTGTGTGTATAAAACACATCTACACGTGATTCCTTAACAATTATGGATTTCTCAGCTCCTACCCCCTGCTGCAGAGGGGCATGTACTACCTGTGTGCACCCCTGTCCCCTTGTCTGCCCTGTTAGGGCTAACACTTTCATTGCCATGGTCACTTCTCTCTTCTTCCAGTTCCACACCCACTCCATGCCTTTGCTCCCCTATGCTCCTCTTCCTCAATCCAGTCTCCCCATATGCACTGATAAATTGACACTGAAAAGGACTCCAGAAGTTATTTGTGCTTTCATCCCCACTTTGTSTTTTGGGAAATGTTGTGCAGCTTGCACTGGAGAAATTGGTAGGATCTCAAACTTTAAACAATTTAACATTTGCTCATTTTATAGAATTAAGCTCAAGAGAGAGATGTGGTTTGACCATGATCATGTGGTTGAATCACCAAAAAGAATGACAGCTGGTGCAGATCCTCTGTACCAGGCTASACCTTCTAGTAGACCCATTTGAGCATTTATGACTGGAGGATGCACTGCTTAAGGGAGTGCAATTCTTAAGGGAGATGTGCTAATTGATGTGAGCAGAGCCAGAGGGAATAGAATCAGCAGAGCTGATGTTGTGAAATAAGCTTCCAGCAGGCATAACCTTTGGATTTACTGGAATCCATGTCACTGACTCCATGCATACTTTTTTTCTTTTCCCTGTTAAATAATGRCAACTTGGATCAGCTGTATCATAAATTTGCCTTAAGCCTCTACAGGTTTCACCAGCTAGTGGCTCAAATGGCTCTGCTTACAAGAGGTCAGTAGTACAGAAATCAAAGGAAGAATGAAAAACTACATTAATTGCATTGTGTGTCTACCCAGAAGACAGAGGAAAGAATAAAGAATAGACCTCATTCATGACAGAGKGAATTTTAGATTGCTTCTTCCACCAGCATGCAAGATGTATTATAATTGAATAAATTAAAAAAGAGGAACAAAGATCTCTCTGGATTTTAGGACAAGACCTCTTTACTTACTTTCTTACTCATTAACTTCAAAGGTGTTATCATACCAGAGAGTCTGTGTCACCTTGGCCACCACCAGCTCCAGAGAAGATAAAATTGTAAAATTTGGCAAAGATTGCTGAGCTGAGCTGGTTTATTCCTGTTAAAATAAAGTTGACATAAGAGTACAGAAAAGGGCAGAAGGCGATTTTTGTATCTTGATCTCCTCTAAATAAAAAAAAAATATTTTGAATCTTCTGCCATTGCTGGTTTGTTGGAAGAATTTTTCATTTGCCTCCGTTTGTCCTGAGGTTACCTCTGGTCTTTACCTACTACTTTGCCTGCTCAGCTCTAATTTATTCCCTCTCTTTCAAAGAAAAAGCCCTTTCATTTTACAGACCCTTTCATCATTTTCTTTTTTCTTCTCTAGGTTTCTCCAGCCCACTGAAGAAGTAATAATATTTGCATCAATACARACATTTTCCACCTCAGTAGATGTGAGTTACTATAATATATCACTCAAATCTCCCAAAAATCCCCTTTATTTTCATGAAATAAGAGCAAGAGGATTTCACAGGGATTTCCCTCTTTTCTTTGCATTGATGGCACMGGGCACTTCTGGATAAACTTATTTTAATCTGTGCAGTGGGCAGTTCTCTGGAGTTCCCTCAAAGTTCCCTCAGCTATAGTGAAGGGAGGTGAGCACAGGACACTTGCTAACACATTTTTCTCATTAAAACAAAAAGACTGTGAAGGGTGTAGGTACATCAGTCTCAGACAAGTAGCAGGTTACTTGCTGGCCTGCTTTAGAGAGAACAAAAAGGGGAAGACTGGCAGAGGGAAATTTAAGTGATTTAAGACCTACTAATTGGTCCTAAGAGATAGAAAGAAAGGTGGAAATAAAGGTAGTGATATTGTTTAAAAGCCAACGGGCTTTGGTTGGCAGAGGAAAAATGCTGCTCTAATTCAAGCACAGGGGTGAAGACGTTTCCAAGTACAGCTCTACCCATCTGGGAGAGACAACGCCCTGATCTCAGACCCCAGCAACAAGTTAGAGCTGATCTTTTGGGGGCAGCAGCAGCCTTCTGTTTCTACATCCTTTTGTGCACTGAGGTACTGAGAGCAGCAGGATGGGCAAAGTTAGCACCCAGTGAGCTTGGGATGACTCGAGAAAGCTGCAAACATCAACCTCTTCCTTAAGACAGTTCAGTAGCATTGTTCCAAATATTCCCACATATCTGTGTCTTAGATAAGAAACAGTTTCTGGGTTTATGTGGGCATCTTTGTCAATTAATTTTGGTGGGGGGTTGAAATCATGCTGTTTGATTTTTTCTTGTGAGCAATTAYGGCTTAGAACAGGAGACCTTCCAGGGTCTGGCAAGATAATTGTTGCAACTGATAAAAACAGTGTATGAACGTGTGCATGTGTGTGAAAGCAGCTGAAGGAAGAGCAGAAACTGAATGTCCTGTATTGATCACTAAGAATGCTGTTTCTGATTAATCAGAGTGGGAAATGGGTTGTTTCTGTCGAGCCTGATAAGTTATCTGTGTTGTAGGTTTATCAGTGGAAGATCCTCATCTAACAGCAAAGGCAGCGAGATTGCCCAGTATCACTCTGCTGCCCTTTTCCTCTCCACCCAACAGGAAGGCAGCAGCGAACGCAAAAACTACTCCCAGCTAGAGATATCGCCCAAAATAATTTGTTACTGAGCTGTTATGAATACCTTGAGGGAAAGGTATTGGCAGCTCGCTGCCGCCAGCTCCAGCTCTGGGACAAGCGATGGGGTGGAGAGTGGGCTGAGCGCCTCTCGCCTCCTCGGGGCTCTCATTCCATCTCACTCCCTAATTCCATGGACTTGGCCGTGAGCAGCCATCCCTTTCGCCGCCTTCCTTCCGGGGGCATTTCCAGGTCTGAGGAGGGTCATTCTGACAGTGCCGACAGGACGGAAGGCTGGAACCGCCGCTCGCCACTCGCGTCTCCTTCCTCCTTCTTTCCCAGCCGGGAGGGTCCTCCGGGGGCCGGGATCAGACAGCAGCTGCCTCGGAAACCTGTGTGACGCCAGTATTTATTCGGGAGMCGGGGCCAAGAAGGTGAAAGTTTCTTCAGAGTTAAAGGAGGTTMCCAGAAAGTGGCGGGGGAGCGATCTGTCGAGCGAGGGGCACAGCTCAGGAGCCCTCCGAGGTGCGGCTTGGGAAGGCACATTAAAAGATCTGTGCTTTACTT